CCCCAAAACCCCAAAACCCCAAAACCCCAAAACCCCACACAATCCACCTCCATTGAACCTCTGTTGCTAATAATCATCCCTAATCTCAGGACTTAACTCATCAAGCACGGCCAATTTCTCGCCTTCGCGCCTATAAAATTACCCAAGAGCCTTACACCAGAATGTATGACCTAATAGTCAGCTTGTACAGTACAGAATTGGGGTCTCGGGACTGGACAACTGAAGTTTGAGGAGGGAGTCTAGGCTCAGGGGAAGTCTGAACGAGGAAGTCTTGGTCAGCAAGGAATTTTATTTTGAAGCTGGTCTTGTTGTTTCTGTCAGATCTGAGTGGGACGTCGTGGGTGAAGGTGGTCTGTGGGTGGGAGGCGTGGTTGCAGTAGCCGGGGATGGTAGGGAGTTTGGTGAATGTGGTGTAGTGGCCAGTGGAGTTTTGGACTAGGAACTCGACTTTTTGAAGCGAGAGACACCCGTTTATCTTGAATTCTACTCTAGCATGGGAAAGAGAGAGTTGACTGACGGTTTCGATTATTGGGTAAGGCATCATCATATCGATAAATGATAATCAGAGTTTTATGTGTCTGTTGATATGCCCATCAGGATGGCAATCCTTACATTTCAAGTTAGAAGGAGTTCCAAATCTTGAAGTAATAGGATGCTTATTATTACTTGCTTCTACAAGATATATTGCAGGCTTGATATGTGTATGATTAGTAAAATATTCAGTTTTATTGAAAGGGAGATAACTAGTAGGTGAGCAATTCTCGTGCTTTCCATTAGGGCTAGTATCAAATGATGCTCCATAAGCCCAATCTTCCATTGCTCCATGTCAAGCATATACTGTTTCTGTCATTGTGCCGATCCTGAGATTATTCCAATTCGGAACAGAGGACTGAGTTTGAAGAACTTCTGCTATTTTGGCAAACATTGAATCATCTGGAGATTCTGTCCCAACCTGCCTCCCATTTTTCCTCTCGATATGATTAAAACTACCCCACGGATACCTATACTCTCACTCTACATGCTTACGAAATGACTTCAGTTCCTCCATGATACGTCAGTGCTCCATAAATATCATTATTCTGAAAAATCTTAAATACAGCTCTGGCAGCTACTGACTGGTATCAGTTGTCGTCATCTCTATTATACGGGAAATCTCTATTAACATCAATTCTTTGTCCTTTATCAGTCTCTTCATGTCTATGGTTCCAATAATAGCCCTGGGCGTTGGTCATCGGAGTCATGATTATCTCCCTTTCTCTCAGATTATTAAAATGGCTGATATCCCCATCATTGTAAGTCTTAGCTAGATATTCCGCAAGGTAGACCAGCACGTTTGGTCCAAGTTGTTCGTCCCCGTGCAGATTTCCAGAGAGATAGACCTGTACTTTATTCCCAGGAGGAATTTTGTAGTCAGAGATTGAGACATAAGTTATAACGCATTTTGAATGCCCACAATCACCACCTTGGTGAGGGAGATTGTACTTCTGATGAATACTCTCTGCCTTAATCAGATCCGGATACTCTTTAGCTAACTCACTGATCTTCTGATTAATCTGAGTATAATTCAAATACTTGTAATCCCCCTCACACACGACCATCACCACCAAACACATCAACACAAGTAACCTCATTTTTCAATATTTTTGAACCAAAAAGGGGTTTTGGGGTTTTGGGGTTTTGGGG